TGGTAGTCTGGACATTGTACAGTTGAGATGTAGACCGCAACTCGGACCTTGACCGGTGGTAGTCTGGACATTGTACAGTTGAGATGTAGACCGCAACTCGGACCTTGACCGGTGGTAGTCTGGACATTGTTCAGTTGGGGTGTAGCTCGCCACTCGGACCTTGACCGGTGGTAGTCTAGACATTGTTCAGTTGGGGTGTAGCTCGCTACTCGGACCTTGACCAATGGTATTTGCGGACACGGGAGAGGGCGGGGGATGCGTGGACACTGTTCTGCTATCGATTACGAGTGATTCTCAAAGTTATGAGAACGACGAGCGGGTATTCACTGTTCCGCATGTGCATGGTGTGTGTTTGTGTGTGTGTGTGTGTGTGTGTGTGTGTGTGTGTGTGTGTGTGTGTGTGTGTTGTGCGTATGCGTGTGCGTGCCTGTGTGCCTGCCTGCGTGTGCGCGCGTGTGTGTCTGCGTGTGCTTGTACGTTTGCATTGCTGCCTTGCACACGTAACTGGTAATTACGATTTTTTAATAATAAGCCGCAATTAAATGAATCCGCATATATGTGGACGGAAATCGTAACTGGTAATTACCTCCGCGCAACGAAGTTGCAGGAAGGTAATGTGATCCCTCTCGTGTGATGTGTTCGTGTGTGTGTTCGTGTGTGTTCGTGTGTGTGTTTGTGTGTGTGTGTGTAGCCAGCAGCTCGCCTTAGGGCGTCGAGTCAGCAGCAGCTCGCTCGCTTGCGCGCAACAATCAATATTTCAGCGATTCTACTACTACAAGCTAGAACTACTAGAAACTGCAACTAAAACTGAAACTAGAGTCAGCGAGCGGGCGGCGCGATCGATAGCCCGTCGAGTCAGCGAGTGGCGAGTCAGCAGCAGCCACCAGTGAGCACATACATGTTACATGCTCGCGGAGGTATGCACTCTCCGTGAGTGCCCTCTGTCTAGTTGCAAATTGTAATTGGGACAAGCTCTACCTACTACACCACATAATGCACCAGCCCAGCGTGATCGTTCACAAGAGTGCTGGTGTTATTCACGACGATCAGCTACGCAATAACGCAGTTACGGATCCACACGGAGGGAGTCTTCAAGTGAAACCAAACAGTAATCTACGACCGGACAACTGACAAGCGAAAGACGATGACAGAAATCCGATGCAAGACTGACTCAGCGAGCTAACTAGTCTGACTCGGCGAGAATCAACATCAACTCGAGACATCAGCATCCTTCGGAGAATCGCTGTCAGGGGAGCGATTAGAAACAGTCTAAGAGCTAGACACTGTCAAAACGCATAAGATGGTGTGCAGATTCGGACGTCAATCACCGAGCTGTGCATGACTTAGCACGGAAGAAGTATCTTTGCGCAATCGTCTAGAAGAATTACGCGTGCCATTAGCTCTGTTTATGTCTTGGGAGCCGATTGAGTGTGTGTGTGTAGTCCCTATATGGCCCATAATTAAGTGACCATCCGAGAAGCTCTTAATATATGGCTTCATTAGGCATGAGGGCGGCTTACACTGACATTATCCGGTGTTGTAATTAACAGAGTGCGAGAGTTAGAGAGAAAGAGAGAAAGAAAAAGAGAGAGAGAGAGAGAGAGAGAGAGAGAGAGAGAGAGACAGCGAGATAGAGAGAGAGAGAGAGAGAGAGAGAGAGAGAGAGAGAGAGAGAGAGAGAGAGAGAGAGAGAGAGAGAGAGAGAGAGAGAGAGAGAGAAAGCAGAGAGCGAGAGAGAGAGAAGAGAGAGAAGAGAGAGAGAGAGAGAGAGAGAGGAAGAGAGAGAGAGAGAAAGAGAGAGAGAGACGAGAGAGAGAGAGGTAGACAGACAGACAGGGAATGCGCGCCCCTGGGAG